TCTATGATTAACTAGCAGCATTTGCCAAGGTGTGGGCAGGGAGCCTTTGCCTTGCAAACTGCCACAGAGAGGTAGAGGATGTGTCCAAACTGTGGAAAGGGAAGGCATGTTCATAATAGTTGTGCTAAGACAACAGACCTAGACTAAAAATGTTCCAGGAAGAAGGGATGTAGGGCCATCTCAGGTATAGGGAACAGTACCATACAGGAGGCGACCACGGTCCAGAAGACTTCCAGATGGCCACCTTCTCACGGCATCTTCACGTGGTCTTTCCTCTGAGGCTGAGCAGGGAAAGAGAGAGTGAAAGCAAGCCCTCTGCTGTCACTTCTTCTACTTCTTATAAGGACACTAATTCTACTGGACCAGGGCCGCACCCTTATGACCTCACTTAACCTTAATCACCTCCTTGTAGTCCCTCTGTCACATTAGGGGTTAGGATTGTGTCCCCACACAACTGAATTGTGTGGGGACACAATTCAGTTCATAGCAGGCTGACACAGGGGCGAGGGTGCTCTAGGTTTGGCGGGAGTCGGAGGAGCATCTGAGTAGGCCTGTCAGCTTGTGGAGGATTGATGGCAGCTTTCTTAGCGCCAAAGCGATGGGACTGTCCTTGGCGGATGTGACCCTGACATTCTTCAGACGATGAGTCATGTTGCTCCAACACCTCTCTGGTCTCACCTGGGCCCAAGAAACTGCATCTCAGCCAGCCTAGCCAACGACCTGGAGAGAAAACTAGGGTATGTTTCTGAAGGAACTGTTCACCAAGTTTTAGCGGGTGTCCTGGCCAAGCTGGGCCAGTGGAGAAAGCAAAGCTGAGCTCTGCTCAGGGGCTTTTATAAGACTGTGGGCTTTTGTCGTCTGTCTGAGGTTGGATTCTGCCTCTTATACTGACTAGCTATGACATCGAGGACAAATAATTTAATCTCTGTGCCCAGGTATCTAAGTTAGGAATTACAATAGCTGCCACTAACAGGAATCTCAACCTCTTAAGCAATGGGGACATTTAATTCTTCTCTGCACACTTTCCATCTTTCTGCTTTGCCATCCTTAGCACTTGGATTCCACCTCCAAGGCTGCCTCATGTCCAAGAGGAGTTGCAGATGCTCTAGCCATCACATCTTCATTCCATGCAGCAGGAGGGAGGGTAAGCAGAACACACACATATTTTATAGAGCTTTTCCAGATGTCTGCCTTTTTTTTTTAAGATTTTATTTATTTATTAGACACACAGAGAGAGAAATCACAAGTAGGCAGAAAGGCAGGCAGAGAGAAAGGGGGAAACAGGCTCCCTGCTGAGCAGAAAGCCCTATGCGGGACTCGATCCCAGGACCCCGAGATCATGACCTGAGCTGAAGGCAGAGGCTTAACCCACTGAGCCACCCAGGCGCCCAGATGTCTGCCTTTTAAACATTTTTTTAAGTTCCACTGACATTTTTCTCTTATATCGTCTGATACTTATTCACAGGGATACACCCATTGTAAGGAAGACTGGGAAGTATAGTCTCAACTTGGCACTTTGCTGCCCCAGATAATATTGGGGTTCTTTCCCAAAGTGAAAGTTTCAAATGGATATTGGGTAGGCATCTTGCAATTTCTGTTACACTCAGTTTTTCTGTCTGCAATTTGGGGATTATGACAATACCTATCTCCCAGGAGTATTGTGTTGCCTTTTACCCTATATAGACTTAATCTATGTTACCTAACTTATGTCTATCAAGAGAGAATGGAGTGGAAAAGGAAAATGATGCTGGCACTGGTATGAAGATAGTTTTGATCTAACAGACCCAATGAAAAGGACTCAGGGCTCCCCAGAACTCCCAGATCACATTTTGAGAACTGCTGCTTAGAGAATCAGATTTTCCTTAGATGGGCTTGCTAACCAAGCTCCAGCATAACACTGAAATAACATATAACCAATCCTTTTGCCTTTATGAAGTTTGGATAATTTTTTTAAGATTTTATTTATTTATTTGACAGAGATCACAAGTAGGCAGAGAGGTAGGCAGAGAGAGAGGAAGGCAAGCAGACTCCCTGCTGAGCAGAGAGCCCGATGCGGGGCTTGATCCCAGGACCCTGGGATCATGACCTGAGCTGAAGACAGAGGCTTTAACCCACTGAGCCACCCGGGTGCCCCATGGATAATTTTTGTTAACAGATAATGTCCTAGTTTTTATTTTCCCCAAATCTAGCATAACCAGTAATGCCCTTTCTGTATCTGTCCTTGTCTTGGCTCATCTTCAGAAGTGTAAACCCCATGAGCGCTTGCTGCTGTTCTCCAACGCTTGACATGGAGGTAGACCCATAGACAGAAACTTGACAATGTCGAGATTTACTGACGCCCTGTGCTCCTGGAAAACGGTGAAGGTTAAGACCTCCCCATCCCCAGACACCGAAGGTTAAGACTTCCCCATCCCAGGGCACCTGGATGGCTCAGTGGGTTAAAGCCTCTCTCTCTGCCTGCCTCTGTGCCTACTTGTGATCTCTCTGTCAAATAAATAAAATCTTTGGGGGGGGGAAAAAAAAGACCTCCCCATCCCTACCCATCCACTCTGTTCTGGAAAATGACTTATTTTAAAGAACCCACCCTTCCTTCCCCGTTATGACTTAAATAAGACTCAGGGATGCCCTCCTTGTTTACCTATGACAAGGCCAGACACAAACCCTCGAAATTCTCTTTCTCAGCCTCATGAATGGTTAGCTGAGTCTCTTGTCCCCACTCATCAATCAGAACAAAATGCTTGTTAACCAGCATTCCACCGAGCCACTCTCCTTCATCTAGGCCCCTGAATGAACTTTATTTAGTCCAGCCTTAGCCTGAGGCAGCATACAGGCCCTCTTGAGAATAGGCTGGCCTCGGTAGAACGTTCTCGTATGTTATCCAATTCTGCCACCCTTTTGTCCTATTTCCCCACACCTGGTTCTTTTCAGCCTTCCTTCTCTCTATAAAAGAAAAGCCCTTTCTACCCAACTCTTTAAAAAAAAAAAACAAACATTTATTTATTTATTTGACAGAGAGAGAGATCACAAGTAGGCAGAGAGGCAGGCAGAGAGAGAGGGGGAAGCAGGCTCCCCGCCGAGCAGAGAGCCTGATTCGGGGCTCGATCCTGGGACCCTGAGATCATGACCTGAGCCAGAGGCAGAGGCTTAACCCACTGAGCCACCCAGGTGCCCCTGAGCCCAACTCTTAAGTGCTTGCAGACCTCATAGTCAGAGGGTTCTCCTCATGGCAAATCTTTTTCTCCCCCTGCAATAATCTTTTTTAATAAAATCTCTCCTTAATCTGGATTTTTTATTGAACATGCTGAACGAAAGATCAGAGAGTGGCTAATTAATCAAAAATTAATTCAGCTTTGCAGATTCTGATCTGACTCCTCTCCCTTTTAATCACATTCTTAAATTCTGATGCCTAGACTTGTCAAATACACCAGGCCATGACCAAGCCCTTTGGTCCAGGAGGACAGCTGTGGCTGACAGATGGGCTTTTGGAGTCGGACATATTAGGATTTGGACCTTAATGCTGCCACTTCCTCTGTAGCCTGGGTCAGGTCACTTGATGTCTTGCCTGTTGAGCCACTATTTACCGAGTATAGGCTTTGAATTGGACACAGATTGTGGTGAGCAAAACAGACGATAATTAGGGACAGGTGGATTCTGGCAATAAAACAAGTCCATCAAAGGAGAAGTGGGAAGAAGAAACAGAATGTCTTGACAGAGCATGGAGGGAGCATCTAGGTATATGGGCTGAGAAAGGGACTTATCTGAGGCCTGGGGGTTAGAAGGTCCAGCCATGCCAGCAGCTGAGAGAAGTATGTTCTGTGAAGGGCCAGGTGTGGGAGAATTGGGTGTTTAAAAACCAGAAAAAAGGGGAGAGTGGATAAAAGGAGTGAGTAAATGGCAGAGAATGCCCTGGCCTTTGCCAAGATAAAGAATTCAACTTTTATTTTAAGTAGGATGGAAAGCCATAAAAAGGAGAGATCTTACTGTTTTAATCTTTTTGCTTTGTGGTTTAATTTGATAACTACTGAGATGTCATTCCTCCCCCATTAACTATTTGCATACTTTGGTGGATTGTCGGCTCTTGCGCCCCACCCACTGGGCTGTTAGTGACTTTCTCATTAATTCGATGAGGTTTGTCTCAATTAAGGATTTTAATCTTTTGTGGTGTTTGTTGCATTTATTTTCCCCTGGTTACGGTTTGCTTTTTAATTTTGGTTTCTTTTTTGGCGTGGACATTTTAAACCTTTGTACTTATAGTGTGTTAGAGTGTTCCCCCACCACTATTAAGCTTAAGGAGTCCCCCGCCATCGACGTTGGGTAAATTGTGTTGTTTGTGGTCCGTGTAGTCGTGGTTCCATGGTTGACACTGGGGGAGTTTTCTATCTTCGTGTGCGGAGAGGAACAGACTCGGTGGTAAGGGCTCAGGATGTGGAGACCCCTGGGTCCCAGCGGGACTCCTCAGCAGGTGGCCCCCACTCTCCTAGGAATCTGCCCCCTCGTTACACAATTGACACAGAGGGCGGGGCTAAAGGCTTCTTGTTCAGGTGAGAAAGCTGAGGTTCCGCAGAAAGCTGGGAATCAGAGGTAAGCCTACAGCCGAAGCAAAAACTGCCCCTGGGACGAGCTGGTGCCGCGGTGGCAGGCAGGGGGGAGGGGCGAAGGGAGGGGCGGTCGGGGAGCTGGAGCCCCTCCCCGGCCCCGCCCCCCGGCCGCGTTTCCTGCACTGACCTCTGCACAGCAGGGCTCATTCCAGAGCCGCCCCCCCAGCGCTGATTTCATTGGCTGCCTCGCCGTCCCCGCCCCCTGGAGACCTGCTGATTTTCCGGCCCAATCAGCAGGCGCGGCGGCGGCGGCGAGTCTCGGAGGATCCCGGGCGCTGAGGTACCGGGGCTGGCAGGAGGGGCCGCGGTCCTGGAAGGGGGAGCGCGCGGGCCCTCAGCGGCGCCTCGGCTCAGGGGGGTGGGCCACGCTTCTGCCTCGGGTACGAGCCGCCCTCCTGCCTCCGGAGGGGCGGCGACCGCCACCGTCTGCGGCTGGCCGGACGTGGTTGGAGTGGAGGGCAGAGGTCGGAGGTCGTGCCTGTGCGGAATGTTGGGGTCCCGCCCATCTAAGCCCAGGAGCGGGCAGCGCCCGGTTTTCTTTTTGTCAGCGCCTGTGTGGGGACCGCCCTCCTTGCACGGAAAGGGCTCAGAGGGAAACAGGCCTTGGAGCCGCCGGGGCCCCTGGCAGGCCCTGAGCTCTGACGGGGAGAGCCGCCGCCTCCCTCCTCCGGGCCGGCGGGTCCGTAGGGTGCGGGCAGGAGGCGGTGGGCGGCACGGTCGCGCCGGGGGGCCCTGGCTGTCCCCGAAGGCGCCGCTCCCCTGGGCTCCGAAGGGCCCCACGCCAGCGGTTCCGAGGCTGTCATTCCCCGCATTTGAGCTCTCGTTTCTGGAACCTCAACTCGGACTGTTCCGAGAGGGGAAAGCGGGTGGTGTGGCTTTTGCACTTGGCTGGAGGTGAAAATAAAAACCAGGCGTGGGATGTAATGAAGGCAAGGGCACCTGTGAGAAACTGGACGAATTACGTAGTTCGACAGGAATTTTCTGCCCATCTTGGCTCACATACAACGTAATTCAAGCCTTCGGTATTGGAAATCAAAGTCTTTTATTCTCCTAGTTCTCATAAGCAAGTGACCTTAGTCTTGACCTTCTTGGCGAGGGGACTCTGGAGTGTGTAAAGTAGTGAACCAGAATTGTTCGGTACAAAAGTTCCCGAGTTAAGATCCTCAAAGCGAGGAAGCTGGAACAGCCCTTCCCTCTCATTGCAAGGGTCCCAGCAGCGTCTTTACCCTGAGACCAAAAAGAGAAGTTTCTTTAACTGCGTGGGTTTTGGGGGGGGGGCACCACCTATGGATGGATGAGGAATAAGGGGGAAAGGAGGGATTCTTTCCTTCTCTATGCAAAAGGGATGCAATTAAGGGGAAAATGCTATTTTTACACACCTGCCTCTCACCCCATCTCAGCTAGCGTACAACACGTTGTTTTTTGTACTGATGGTGTCTCTGCAATGATCAGGGAAAAGGGTAATCTCTAACAAGACACTTCTCTTTACTGTAGCTGCAGAGGAATCAATGTGACTTATGTGGAATTAACCATGGGGTTTGGTTTTCAGTTAAGAAAATGAGGCAGAAGGAAGTGTTAACCAAGACCTTCCAAGGCCCAGCCATTGTCTGTAGGACTCCAACCAGCCACGTTTACATGTTTGAGAACGGTGGTGGGGACTCGGGGGACTCCTCTGAGGAAGAGTCCCACCGCGTGGCTCTGCGGCCCCGGGGCAAGGAGCGCCAGAAGAAGGGTGCCCACCACCCTCACCAGCCAGGAGCAGGGGACGTGGTGCTGCTGCAGCGGGAGCTGGCCCAGGAGGACAGCCTCAACAAGCTCGCTCTTCAGTATGGCTGCAAAGTAAGGAACCCCGGAGGTGAAGGTGCCATCTGTCCCCTCAGCTCCTGTGTGCTCAGAGGAACAGAGCAATGCCCTGAAGGGTGGAGGCCCTTGCTGCCCCTTCCTGACCCCCCAAGAGGTGGTTTGGAGAGGCCTCTTGTAGCCGGAAGGGACTCTCCAATCTAGCCAGAGATGGAAGGCAGGTGGGAGTACTTTCAATTCTGAACCTTGAGATCATGAAAAGTGAGGGTTAGGAATCTCACATGTTGGAGCAGTTCCCTCTCTGCAAAGTACTTCTCTCCCTGTCCCTCCACACTGAACTTCAGAAACTTTTTTTTTTTTTTAAGTAGGCTCCACATCCAGTGTGGAGACCAGTTGGGGGGGCTTGAACTCAAAATCCTGAGATCAAGACCTGGGCTGAGATCAGGAGCCAGATGCTTAGGGGCACCTGGGTGGCTCAGTCAGTTAGGACCCTGCCTTCAGCACAGGTCACGATCCCGGAGTCCTGGGATCGAGCCCCAGTGGGGATCTGCTTCTTCCTCTCCCACTACCCTTCCCCCTGGCTTGTGCTTTCTGTCTTTCTCTCAAAATCTTAAAAAAAAAAAAAAAAAAAAAAAGATGCTCAGGTAACTTAGCCACCCAGGTGTCCCCCTCCGCCTCCCCCACTTTTTTTTTTTTTTTTTTTTTTCCCCCCTCCAAGCACATTTTGTTTAAGACCTACTAGGGCCAAAGATGCCAGCAGAATTTATCCAAGATTTGTTTGGTAGGCTTGCTTTTTTAGCTGCTTCACTTTTTCTGACCCTTTCTTGTTGCTTATAGCTTATTTGGTCAAGTTTTACGTCCTCTCTTAGAACTGCATGATCTAGCCTTTGTACGCTGTGTATCTATATAACCCTGTTTCTCTCTTTAATTATGTTTTTAGCATTCAGAGTGATTAACATGGCAAAGTAAGTAGGAAAGTATTTATAGAATTGCTGCATTTTCTCCTAGATTGAAACGATTTATTTCATTTTGCTAATGACAGTTATAACTTTCTGTGGCCTCCCCTAAGGCTATCTAACCAATATATTTTAGAAACCTTTTCCTCCTTAGTTTCTTGTCATTTATCTAACAAGGTTCAAATGGTTAAACACATTGCATAGGATGTTGTATTTCCCAGAAGAAATAAACAGGCTGGTCTCTAGGGACATACTGTGGCCTCTCAGTTGTACGGAGATTTTTCTGTAGGCATACTGTGTGGTTTATGGAACGGGGGCTGAAAATGAATCCAACCCCACACTGAGTGGATGCAGTGGGCTTCTTGGAATACTGATGTCTAATAAATCTGTGAAGACGTTATATATAATGCTTCCAAAAAGCAATCAATTTTCCATTTTAAAGTAAATACAAATTTGGTGTTAATTCCCTAAGGGCAAAGACAAACAGGTCCCAAGCACCTTATGGTTTAGTTTCCAGGTGTGATCAGTTAAAAATATCTGCCACCTCAATTCAATTAGATGATAAAAACAGTTGCTCAATAAGTGAAATAATAGAGATGATTGAATTAGGTGTTATCTAAAGGTCTGTGGCTCTATTTACACTCTAGTTAGTGGGCTTATGAGTCAAATCTTAAGGTCCACCTCTAATGCTTTCAAGTTATGTTCCAAACATTAGCTTGAGGGAGGGTTTCTCTTTGACTTAACTGTCTGCACCACCCCTCCCTTAAGATTCAACTGTGGAAGGAGTTTGTCACGAACTTTCTAAAACTCATAGTGCTGTTCCTTTCTCTTCCAGTCCTAAAATTGCAACAGATTTCAGTCCATACTTTCCAGCTTGATTCATGATTTTCTATATGTTTCTAATTATCATAGGTGTTGTGAAATCTTCAAAGTGTATCACCCCTAGGTCCCTTTATAGAAAATAAATTTATATGCCATACAGCACTTCTGGGCAAGAAAACATGGTAGAATCATGAGGACATACCTCTTTAACTATTATTACAGTTAAAATAGGTTCTGAGTGTGGAGCTGGCTGAGGCTTTGTGTTTGGGGAACCCTAATATAATCAGCTACTGAATTGGGTTCTGATGTGGGAGGGAAGTCAGCCAGATGGGGGCACTGTTGCCTCAAAAGTTAGAAGTAGAAAGGGCTATAAGCTTTTTAAGTTGCTGTGGTTGGGTTTCACCTAAAAACATTTTTGTTGCTGTCACACTTTGAATTAGCAAGAGACTCTTCCAAAACTGATCTTATGTTTTTCAGACTTGTAAATCTGTATGGAAACGTAATGATTAAGCTATACATTCAAGCTGAGTTAAAGCCAAAAAACAGTTTTATTCAGCCTAAACTAATTTTGTGCCTAGGTGTGCTTTTCCAATATTCATCAGATTCGTAAGCGGGGTGGGCTTGGATCCTCTTCCAGAAAGAGCTACTTTTTGGATATTCATTCTAAGGAGTTTACATGTTTTGTGCTGTTTATATCTTCATGGCTTTCCTAGGTCGCAGATATCAAGAAAGTCAACAACTTCATCAGAGAACAAGACTTATATGCTTTGAAATCTATTAAGATTCCAGTGAAAAATCATGGGATCCTTACAGAGACCCACAAAGAACTCAGACCCCTCCTGAGCCCATCCTCAGAGACCAGAGTGACCTTCGAGGAGCAGCCAGACCCAGATAGAGCAACTGTAGGCACCGGTGCCCTCTCCAGCCCACTGACGGATTTCTTTAAGGGCATTGACCAGAATATTGAACGCGCGGTGCAGTCAGAAATCTTTTTAAATGAAAGTTACTCTGTAGAGACCTCCAATCAGCCGCTGCTCCCGACTTCTCCAAAGACCCCCACGAATGGTGCCGACTGTGGAATTCAGTGGTGGAATGCCGTTTTTATCATGCTTCTAATTGGGATTGTTTTACCAGTGTTTTATTTGGTCTATTTTAAAATACAAGCTACTGGCGAGATCCCCAGTAGCTTGAACACAACTGCTGTCCCCAATGGCTCAATGAGCATGAGTGCAGTTCCAGGGCAAGCCCCCAGATTAGCAGTTCCAGTGCCAACTGTCCCCTCTGCAGACAGCCAGTTCAGTCCAACCACCCGGGCAGGGAACTAGCTCTTGTTTCTAAAGAATCGGGCCAGTGTTAGCATTGGGCCTCTTAATGTGGATCATCTGACATCGGCCATATCCTAGGGTGCTGCCTTTCCTTTTCTATGACCTACGGACATGTCTCAGAAGCCGCCGTTGTATTCTCCAGAACATTTGACCCTGGGGAATAGGCTGACCTAATCCAAGGCTGTGGGAGCCAAAACATGCCCCCGCCCCAGCCCCCTACATCCAGGAGGTACAGCAAGAGAGACCTTTGCACGTGACACATGCCATTTCTTGAAGGTATATAGTGGACTGGCACTGCGTGGGCCCCCAAGTTGGAAGTGTTTGGAAGTTGAGGAGCAGCATTGGACCTCCACTGTGGGGGCTTCTGGGGTCAGCTTTGGTTACTTTGCTGTTTGCAGTGTCCTCTGCCGTGACACGTGGTGTTCTTTGTCTCCCTGGCAAAGGTGCTCTCCAGCAGTGGTGAACGTCCCCCTGTTTTGGAGATGACAGAATTATAATAAGCCCTATTTCATGTTTGTCCCACCAGGTAGCCTTTTTGAGGCAATGTCCCTTCTAGGATCAAAAAAGTCCTGAATCCGAATTGCTCTAATACTGAGTCAATGGCAGGTGTGTACCTTGCACTTCTAGAACTACTTAGGGGTACACATGCCTGCTTTAAAGCTGCTGCATGGTATGGCCAGCACTTCCTGGCTAGATCATTTGGGGGCTTTTGCTCAGTTTCCTCTGAGGAGCATCCCCACTGCGGTGGCTAACCAGATTACCCAAGTCAGCATTCTTGGGAAGAATTCGTGCTGCCCAGGTCTGGAGCTGAGTAGGTGCAGAGAGGAAGAGGAGTGCCTATCGCCAAGGTCTCAGCATGTGACACGTCTAAGGCCAAACAGTCACCAGTCTGGCATTGCTGAGAGCAGCAACCCCTGGAGGTACCTGGAAGGGAGGTACAGGGAGAACGGGTGTGCTTCCTGCGGCTTCCCTGACTCTGATCTTGGGAAGTCTAGAGCCATTGCCCCAGAATCGGGCTCAGTGTTTTTCTTTGGCTAAATACACTTTATATAGTGTAGCTCATAATGTTAAAAGACCAAACCACAAGCTCCCATCAGCCCGAGGTTTTCCCGTCTACACAGCAGGTGTCTGCTGCAGCATGCTGGAGGCTCAAGGGAGGCCTGGGTCAGCCTCAGGCCTTGCAGGTGGAGCAGGGATACATGAGGTGAGGGTGAAGGCCTGTTTGGCTAGAGCCCACCTTGGTCCCATGGAAGAGTGGAAATGGGCTTACATGGTTCGGAGGAGCCTGCCATCAGGGAGGAAGACTGCACAAATGCTGAGCTTGGAGGTGGTTTATGTCCCTGGACACATCAGGCCTAGAGATGAATTGAGAAGATGTCGTCACGTAAGAGGAAGGGAGTGTGGTGGTAGAGTGCTTGAAATGGGCTTCTCATTTTTCTCCTCTCAGCTGTGTGGGGAACGATTTGCCCTGGGTTCAATTAGTAAACTTAAAGTATCTTCAGAAGTAAAGGCTTTCTTCAAAACCAGAATGGTCTTCAGGATAAAATGAACTTGTGGATCTTTGCTACAGGAACTGCTTTGATCCTGTGAATGTTTTTCCAGCCAGAAGTGTGCGCTCACTGCGCCCCTGGAGGCCGCAGGTTCCTCTAACGTATCATTACGTTAGAGCCTAGAGACCCACGGGAAAATGGCTTTCGCCAGGCAAAGAATAAATATATGTATTTCTTACTTTAAAAAAAATGGAATAAAATAATTTCTTCTGTGAAGAAAAATTGAGGATTTTTTTTTTTTTTCCCAACGGAGGTGGTAATTCAGAATTAAAAGATGGGTGACAATGTTGGAGAACATAAAGGTGCCCATGTCCAGGGGTGTCCCCCTAGGGCTTGTGCGGCTCAAGGTCGAACAGGTGAAGAACAGAAGTGGTAAACCTGCAGGGTCTCACTGATTGAGAACAATGTGCTTTAAAGTGGTTTTGTTTAGTATACACAGGAGATACCATGAAGATTGTTTTCTACACATTTACTACATTTATAGTGTCTTGGGAGTTAATGTTTTAAAGAGGTAATTAGAGGGATGCCTGGGTTAAAGCAGTGGGTTAAAGCCTCTGCCTTCGGCTCAGGTCATGATCCCAGGGTCCTGGGATCGAGCCCCGCATCGGGCTCTCTGCTCAGCGGGGAGCCTGCTTCCTCCTCTCTCTCTGCCTGCCTCTCTGCCTACTTGTGATCTCTGTCAAATAAATAAAATCTTTAAAGAAGTAATTAGATTTGATAGGAAATGTTCAGACTTTTTATTGAACTGTAGAGCCCAACACTGTGGACACCTGGGGAATCTATGTCATCAGGAAAATGATGCTCCCGTTTTACCCTGGAGTGACAAGACTGCAGAGACTAAGCCGAAGTCCAGGGTCACCCTGAGCAGGCCTGCCCAGTCAAGGCCATGCCACAGTCCTTCCTCGGGAAGGTAGTTCTTTAAACTGCCTCTGTTAGTAATGAAGGCTTTCTGGGGTTGAAGAAGAATGGTAAAGGTTCTTTTTTCTCTACATCCCTACCAGCATTTGTGATCTCTTGTCTTCTTGATGATAGCTATTCTAACAAACATGAGGGGATAGCTCACTGTGGTTTTGATTTGCATTTCCCTAATGATTGGTGATGTTGAGCACCTTTCCATGTACCTGTTGTCCCTTTGTATAACTTCTTTGGGAAAATGTCTATTCAGGTGCTTTGCCATTTTTTTTTTGTTGTTGTTAACATTTCTTTTCACTGCTCAGTTGTGTGAGTTCTTTATGTATTTGGGCTGTTAACTCTTTATTGGATATATGGTTTGCAAATATTTTTTCCCATTCCATAGGTTGTCTTCATTTCGTTGATTGTTTCTTTTGCTATGAAGAAGCTTTCTAGTTTGATTTAGTCTCACTTGTTTATTTTTGCTTCTGTTGCTTGTGCTTTTGGTGTCCTATCCAGAAAATCATTGCCAAGACGAGTGTAAAGGAGTTTACCATGAAGGAGCTTACATTCAAGTCTTTAATCCATTTTGAGTTAATTTTTGGGAGTGGAAAAAGAGGTCTTTCATTTTTTTACACATGAAAACCCATTTTCTCAGCACCATTTATCGAGGAAACTCTTTTCTCCATTGAGTTTTCTTGGCTCCTTCTCAGTATGACTGTATAGGCACTGATCGATGTATCTCTGGGTTCTCACTTCTGTTCTGCTGGTCTGTATCTGTTTTAATGCCATTACCACATGGTTTTGATTACTATAGCTTTATAATATAGCTTGAAATTGGGAAGTGTTATGCCCCTGCTTTGTACTTCTTTCTCAGGAGTCCTTTGGCTGTTCAGTCTTTTGTGCTTCCATATAAATTTTAGGATTTTTTTTTCCTACTTCTGTAAAATTTGCCATTGAAATCTTGATAGGGATAGCATTGAATCTATTGAATCTATGGTTTTGAGTAATATGGAAAAGTAAACAATATTCAGTTTTCCAGCCCATGAACACAGGATACCTTTCTATTTATTTTTATCTTTTTTCATCAGTGTCTTTTTGTAGTGTTTAGTGTTCTTCCACCTCCTTGGTTAAATTTATTCTTAAATATTTAATTGTTTCTGATGTTACTGCAAATGGAATCATTTTTATTTCTTTTCAGGTCATTCATTGTTAGTGTATAGACACGCTACTGATTGTTGTATGTTAATTTTGTATCCTGGAACTTTACCAAATTCATTGCTAAGATCTAGGTTTTGTTTTGTTTTTTTTTTTAAATGGAGTCTTTAGGATCATGTCATCTACAAATAGAGACAGTTTTACTTACTTTTTTTTTTTTTTCCAATTTCCTGCTTTTTATTTTTTTTCTTGCCTGATCACTCTGGCTAGGGCTTCCAGGACTATGTTGAATAAGAGCAGTGAGAGTGAGCATGCTTGTTTTTGTTCCTGATCTTAGAGAAAAAGATTTCACTCCTTCATCATCAGGCATAATGTTAGCTGTGGCCTTGTCATATATAGCCGTTGTAATGTTGAGGACATTCCTTCTACACCTAATTTGTTAAGAGTTTTTATCATGAATAGATTTTGAATTTTGTCAAATGTTTTTTCTCCATTATTGAGAGGATCACAGGATTTTTGTCCTTCATTTTGTTAACAAGGTGCATCACATTGATTGCATATGTTAAACCACCTTCTGTCCCTGAAATAAATCCCACTTGGTCATGGTGAATGATCTCTGTAATGTACTGCTGAATTTGGTTTGCTGGTATTTTATTGAGAATTTGAGAACTGGCTTATAGTGTTCTTTCCTGGCTTTGGTATCAGGTAGTGCCTGATACTTTTCTACCTTAGGTCAGGCCTCATAAAATAAGTTTGGAAATATTTCCTTTTTTTTTTTTTAAGTTTGAAAAGTATTGGCATTAATTCTTCTTTAAATGTTTGGTAAAAGCCACTGTGAGACTATCTGGTCCTGGGTTTTTCTTTTTGGGCAGATTTTTGATTACTGATTCAATCTCTTTACTAGTATGGATCCATTCTGATTTTTTGTTTATTCCTGATTCAGTCTTGGTAGGTTATATATTTTTAAAAATTTTTCTATTTATTCTAGATTGTCCAGTTTGTTGGTGAATAGTTGTTCACAGTAGTCTCTTATGATCCTTCATGTGTTTGTGGTATCATTTGTGATGTCTCCTTTTTCTTTTATAATTTTGTTGACTTGGGTCTTCTCTTTTTTCCTTGCTTAGTCCAGCTAAAGGTTTATCAGTTTTGTTTATCTTTTCAAAGAACCAGCTATTAGTTTTATTAATCTTTTCTATTGTTTTCCTATTCTCTATTTGATTTATCTGCTCTAATCTATTGTTTCCTTCTTTCTGCTAATGTTGGGTTTACTTCGTTCTTTTTCTAGTTTCTTAAACTGTTAGATTGCTTATTTAAGATCTTTCTTGTTTCTTAATGTAGGTGCTTGTTGCTATGAATTTTCGTCTTATAACTGCTTTCTGCATATATTACATAAGTTTTGGTATGTTGTGTTTCCGTTTTAGTTTGTCACAGGAGAGTTTTTTATTTCCCTCTTCAATTTCCTCTTTGATCCATTTGTTGTTTAAGAGAGTGGTGTTTAGGGGTGCCTGGGGGCTCAGTGGGTTAAGCCTCTGCCTTCGGCTCAAGTCATGGTCTCAGGGTCCTGGGATCGAGCCCTGCTTTGGGCTCTCTTGCTCAGCAGGGAGCCTGCTTCCCCCTCTCTC